CCTCATAATGAGTTAAAGCTTTCTGACAAACTGAAGAAGTTGAGGGCTACAGGCTCTGTTCCGATTTCAGTTTTGTCTTCCACACTCTGCAAGGCAGGGGAAGAAAGTTTGTCCAAGTTTCGTCATTATCCTCTATTAGCATCACATCACAGCAATATAAGTCACAACAGCCCACTCGTCCTGCGTTTGGTCTGCCTCACTTAACATCAAGCTCTCCACCTCCAGAGATAGACTCCCAAGACTCCAGTCCAGGCGCAGGTCCTTGTCCTGCATCTCCAGCATCCCCATCTGGGTGAAGGGAAGACGAGCAAAACAAAATATCAGGCTCATCACTAAAGTTTAATGGAGCAAGTGAGAATGACTAAGTCTCCTACTTCAAAGGACGTGTAAATGCCCTAGTGTCATGTGACATTAACTAAAGTTTAAAATGTTATTATAAAATGCATTCTGACACCTGCTGTTCGTTGCTGTAAAGTAGTTGCAATAAAGTGGTTTTTTCCATACTTTTTCGGCGTTTGATTAAACAAAATAAAATAAAATTTAGCACCAATATGTCAAATGTAATAATGTTAGTAACCTTCAATTGCTTGCATAAAAACATGATGTATTTCAGCCATTATGACTTTTTTCAAAAAAGTTTTTATGTCAAAATCTTACTGATAAGATTAACATGCCATGAGCTTTTTAGTAATGTCGAACCACACAGTACATTTTTGTCTTATGAAATGATGACTTGAGGTCTTATCAAATCAAACCAAGTACAGAAACGTTGCTCAGGCTGACCTCAGTGAGGCTGATTGAAGGATAAATATAGAACAGCCTCCACGGGCAGAGCTACGGCTCAGAGTTTTGCTCGACTGTCTGTAAGCTGAAGTGAGTTTAGCTTCGCAAAATTCTGCTGATGAGTAAAAGATTTCCTCCAGGGAGAAAAAAAGACGTGGAGGGAAGGATGATGAAGTAAGAATAGAAAGAGCTGAAGAGGAAGAGTGTAACGTCTTACATAACATCAGCCCGGAACAGAAAATGCATTCAAAAAACTGAGCCGTCTTAGAAGAGAGGTGGTAGATTGAAGGAGAGGTGAAATGGAAAGAGTCATCTTTCCTGCCAGCATGAAGAGTAAGCATTTGTTAAAATTGGAGCCAGTTGTGTTTTGGTTTTATGAGTTCAGAGTCATATTATAGAATAGACAGCCTCTAAATTAGTCAGCGATGATTTAAGTGTCTTTATTTGCCTCCAGAACCCAAAGGGGAAAAAACATTATTTCGTCACATGCAGTGACTTTGAGTATCTTACCGCTGAGTCTAATAACCTCTTCTAACCTCATATTGAGGAGCTTCCTTCTTTTTAATATTCTATCTTTAATGTTTGCTTCAAATTTTTGAAGGGAAGTCCTGTCTTTGGTCACGACCTGTCAATGTTTTCACAGCTGTCTTAAAACTCTTTCTGTAACCTCCCTCTGATGACGAGGGGATTAGTTTTTATCTAAAGCAAACCTTTGGTCTAGTCTCAAAATATATGATGCAAGTTCTGTTTTATAAACCTTTATGGCTGCATTAGATGTTTACATGCGTAGAAATTAAGTTGGTCCACATCCTGTAACAATGATGTTCCAATTTGAATCATGTTTTGCAAAATGTGATATATTATTTATACCCAACCAGACGACCTGAAATATATTCCTCCATTCATTTGATTCAAAGCTTCATCAAAGACTTGAGCTGTTCTGTGTCAAATGAAGTTGTTTGCCTGTAAACCTCAAGCTGTTCAATAAAGTCTCAATAACTTAATTGAAGTACACACAACCTGCGAATGTTCATTTAGCAGTAAACTCCCGCAGCCGTGCATCCATCGCAATTACATTTCACAGTCTTTCAAATGCGTTAACGCCTCCACTGCTGAGCCTCAACGCCGCGGACGTGAAATCACAATGTAAGCGACGCCGGCGTCTGATAACTTGGCTGTCTTTTCCAACCGAGTCTATTTTCATCCCCTCCTCCGAGTCGCTCCCCGCTACATGAACGAGGCGTTCAGGTGCCTGAGAGCGGTTGGGATATATAGCTGCTCACCGTTGCATCGACCTCCTCCTGTTCTCTCCTTTTTTCTCCTCACTTACAGCTCAGCCCACGCTGGTGGAAATGAAGCTCAAGCTGAAAAGCAGCAATAGAAGGAAGGAGAGAAAACGAGCAATGAGGGGAGATAAATATTGAGTGGCTGAGGGGGTGGACGAGTTAGCAAATATGAGGTACAGTGCTATGAAGTGGAGTGCATGAAAGGAGGAAATTAAAATTATGCTTTTACATTTCATTAAATAGGCTCTAAATGTTCCACTTCTCATCTGTTACATAATTTACTTTGTGCATGTGTAATGCAGGTTTATTGTACAGTCATGTAAATACAGTATCAACGAACAACTTAAAGAACATAAAAGGAAATGTAAGGAGGAGAGTCACACTGTTGAAGAAAACTTCATTTCTATTTACTGCCACAGTTTCTGCGTGTGGAATAAACTCTGAGATGAACTTTAAATCATGTTTGTCTCCATTCTGAAGTTTGTTGAACACATTTTACTGCAGACAAATCTTCTGGTTCACATGCTGAGTAATCAAATGAGATGTTCAGTTAATCAACTAAGAAATGCTGAGGACTTCATATGTAAATGTATAGCCCATCAAAGTTTAAAGTTCACTGCTGGCGCATATACGTTTAATAAATTAAGATTTAATGAAGGCTTAAAGGAAGTGTAAATATGCTGCATCTTAGTAACAGTATATTTCATGCTTTCTGGGCAACTCTGTGGTCTGCTTGGCTGCCAAATGCTTTCAGGGTCCTGCAGGTCTCTCCACAGAGGAATGCGTGCAACCCCTTTCTTTTTTTCTTGTTTTTTTTAGAAGGGTAGACTGTGTGTACTTTTCAGATTTTGAGAAAAATGATCCACGACAAAGAATCTGACCCATAAGATGATAGAATGAATAATTGAGACAGGACAAACCCAAAGTCAATGTTCAGGACGTTGGGTTCATGTCAAACTTAAGATTTTTTTAAATTAAATTTCTAATCTGATTTTATTTTACTCTCAGCTCATGTCAAGCCTTTGGAACCAAACCCATCTTAGATGTTCTTCAGTAAAATAGAATAACTCATTAGCACCAGAGATTTCCAGTAAAACCTTCAGCCGTTTTGCTCTGCTCTTTTCACTTTTTTGCATGCATGCATCTTAGAGGTGCATTTTGTGCCGAGTTCAGCTTGTTTCTGTGCTGAAATCACGTTCTCCGTATGCCCAGGGTACAGTATCTTTGCTGCAACTGTTGTTGCAGCCATTTACATACATTTTCAATGTGCAGAGTTGCCCAGAGACCTTGACATAACATACACAGATGTTCATGACTGCCACAAGAAGCATCAAAATGGCAGGGAAGGGAATATCTGACAGGTTGTATGATTACAGAATGACATTTTAACCCAAAGTGCATCGTTTGGTTTGAAATGATCCCAGACACTTTGCTATTTGTTTTACTTCTCAAACAGAATTAAGGCTTAGTTTCCAATTAGACGGATCCTTATGTGAAGAAATATACTAAATTCCTCCAACTCAAAATGAATAGCCATTAAAAAATCTCACAGATTGTGTCACATTTGCTTGATAGTAAATTTTTTTCTGGGGCAGGAGGGAGCATTGCATTCAGACTGGTCCATACAGCTTACTGAATGACGACTCCAAGTCATGCACTGAGTTCTCTTCAACACATTTGGTGAGCGGTTGGGCATTTGTGCTCACCCTTGTTCTGGCAGTGCAGCCTGCTGAGCCGCAGACTTTCGCTTGCAGCATCACACCAGGAAATCTGCTGGGGTGTAAAATGAAAACAAGGCGAGAGGAGTTAAATACGGCTCAGAGATATTAGTGAAGTCGGATCTAGAGGAGGGATAGTTTTATAAAACAAGGGAGGAGAAGAAAGGCGGGTTAATTAAATTATGGGATTGAAAACATTATGCAGCAATAGTCTTGCAGCTCATTAAAGAGTTTTTAACTGTTTTCTTTTATACAGATGTACAATTTGTTTTTTCCCATACAGAATGTGGGCTGACACTATTCAGTAAGACGGTTATGATCCCATTTCTACTTTCTCAAAGCTTTTATTTTTATTTGTAAAACATCGAGATAAAATAAAATGCCAGCGACAAAACATGAGGGATGGTTGCAGTTTCAACAGCAGGAGCCATTGTTCTTTCACATCAGTCTAATCGATACTACTTCATTGGTGGGATGTCAACTGTGTGCTAGAGGAAAATAAAGCAGGATAAGGTTTCACCTCTATCTGTCCTTATTTTTCTTTATCTTTCAGTTTTTAACAGGTAAATGACTTTTATTTCCCTGTGAAAACAGTAAAAATAAAGCAAAGCTTCCAGTCTTAGACACCTTTGCTTTACGGAAGTAATTTTGTGCTCCGTGGCTGTGAAATCCTGATTTGTAGTCCCTTTAAAAATTGATTTGGAGGTCAGATGGAAGTGTCGGCGGTGAGAAAGACAGGCTCGGTAAACAACAGGGACTCAGACCCAGAGACAGACATTCAGACGAGGGTAAATGGCTTCATTTACTGCCACTGCACTCAGATATAGGCCGCTTCACTTTACTGCCACTGACAGTGAGCGCGAGTGTTTTTCATGCTCACCTCTTGTCACAGCCTGTCTCCTGTCTGGATGAGTTTCACCTTTTTCAATTTAATTGGAGGACAAAGAGGAGGTGAAGAAGTTTGCTGCTTCACCTCTTTTGACCTCTGAAATTCTTTGGCCTTCAAACTAAATAAAAACTCGGACATGAAGTAGAAGTGATAAGCTAATTAAACGTCTTATCTCGTCTTTATAGATGCAAAGTCACTGATGGGTTTCCTGATAAGCGTTAGCCGAAGGCAAATAACAAAATGAAAAGCCGTGCCTGATGTGTGCGTGTGTGAAGCTTTTAGTTTATAAATGCTGTTTTCTGTTGTTGTTTTTTTTCTCTGCAGAGCCGGGTTCGAACAGGATATAGAGGGCGACCACTCTATTTACCCCGACAACTGTCACAGTAAGATAAATCTGTTCTTTTAAAGCCTCAGTAACGATTTTTGGACTTATGATATGAGCTGTAGAGGTGTAAAGGTTATGGATTGTTAAAACCCAGCCTGGGGTTTGTTTCCATGGATTTTACAATCCAAGTTATGGAGTTCATCCTAGTTTGAGACCTAATTGGAAAATCTGGGTCACACAAAAAATGACCTGTCTGGTTTAGTATTCAGTCTTTTGTTTTTGGAAAAATTCTAAGCCATTAGTGGAGCCAAAGAAACACATTTCAGTTTTCAGTGTGGAATTCGTCATATTTTGTCTGCCCTACCCTTTACCCACTGGAATACAGCACTTCTCTAAGTGTAATGGCCATCATCTCCCACTTACTCGCTACGCTTTCCAGCTATTTCTCCAGCTGTACTTATGATATCCCCCATCTGGGGGCATTACCTCTGTCTCTACTCTAGTCACAAATGGACCAAGTTCTGTCAGTTAATTATTTAAACAACAAATTATTCAGTATCCTCTAAAAGTAAAATGTTTTTGCAAGACCCAACTGTTTGTGTGTTTATTTTTGCGTCCTACCTCTCCTTTGTTTGAAAGATTGACCATATATTATATTAAAGCAACGTTTTTGGGCTCTTAGTTTTCTTTTATCTGTTCTGTTTAATAGCTGGGATTGTTCTTTTTTAGTTTCCAAAGCGAATCCTATTGGTTTGTAACAGTTGCATATCCTGAATGTTTGGAAACTGCACCTTTTTGTTTCACTAAGTCAGAGCACACAGGAATTTGTTCATTTCTACTAGTTAAAATTTATTTTGCTAAAAATATTATTGCATGTTTAACTTTTTGTTTATAATTGCAAAATAAAGATAGCCTTTAGTAGTTTTTTCCATCAGTTTTGCACCATGTTAACATGCATAAAAACTGTGAAGATAATTGCAAAGTGCTGCTTTTAGAGCATTTAAATGAATGTTTTTCTCTGTATTTTTATAATTAAAACACATAAAAGTGGGTTCAAATAGTTTTCTGACCTTTCTAATGCTATGAAAGCTGACTGGTGGTTTTATCTTTTGTGCAGCTGATGTGTTGGCCACAACACGAAACCAGGAATCAGCAGCTGACTCTGCCTACGGTAAAGCAAAACATGCCTTCTTCCATTTTTCTTCTTTTTTTAATGGATCAAATCATTTTTAAATTTTATTCAATTTAATATTTTGTGTCCAGTTAATATACCAAAGTAGAACGGGGTAATAGGAGGCAGTAAGTCTATAAGTGAGTGTTTTTGCTGAAATAGGGTTTATCAGTCTCAGACTCCAAATGTTTATCTCAGATATTTAGGAGACATTTAATATTAATGGGAGTTGAAGATCTAAACACAACTTGTTTGGGGTTTAGCCCTAAAGTTACTGTTCCCATGAAAGGCAACTTGTAGGTTTGTTAAAACTTGGTGATGCTCAGACAGAATCCCCTAAACCCAAACCCAGAAGGAAGAGGCCAGAGAACTTCCTTGTCTCAGTTTGACGTCTTAACAAACGAGCTTCGACTCAACCAGAAGAAATCCCGTTTTGTTGCCTGGTTGGCTCAAGTTAATGTACAGCAACTCATTGCTCAGTTTGACATCATTACCTTCCACCACTTTACAGTCCAGCAGATCAAAGCCCGGCTTCGCTCAGCAACCTGCTCTGTATTCATTGCTGCAGCTCAGCTGCTACCTGACTGTCAAGAGTCCTTCTCGTAAACCAGCAGAAGCATTGTCATTCACCGAGCAGCAGCCGAACCCACACAGTGAATCCCATTATGGCTCTATGTGGTGCATTCCAGTGATTAAAGCCGGAGAGGGGATGGCTAGAAAGACATTTTTGGTTTGTGGTCCACTTGACTCAAGCTGAGTTTGTTTTTCAGGAACACTTGAGCCCAAGAGGCTGCGTTGTGTCAGCAGCACTGATGAAGAGAATGAAAGTGAGGGAGAGCAAGGTCGTCAGACTGCGAGCCCAATGAATCAGGAAAATGAAAGCGATAAATGATTAGTCCTTTTTTTTTTACCACATACTGAAAACATTTACAGACCTAACTCTGGATGATGTTCTCTATCAGTCTCTTCAAATTCAATCACCACCTCAGTTTGACATTGCCACGTCCGTGTATTGAAGTCTTTTTCTTTCTTTTTTTTTTTTTTAAGTGAGCAGCCCTGAGTCAGAGGCAGCATCTCCTGAGGTAATTTCACTGTAGGCCATGAAAGCGAAGGTTGGAACCGTAGCCGTCAGAGCACAGAGAGCGCCTCGCTTTGTATTCTACCACTTAGCTTAATTGCATCCACCTGGAATTGAAATGAGGCAGTGTTCGTTGACAAGAATTAAAATCATACTTTTAGAAAAGGAAAACTGAAGTGGAGCACAGAGAGCCAGAGAGACTCTAATTCAGTTAGTTGATAGTCAGCTTTATTTATTGTAATTTTTATTGGATTAAATGATTTAATCCTGTTTTTTTAGCAGATCGTTGTGAAATTCTTTTGGTTTAGTGTACGCGTTTTTGAAAACAAAGGATAAGCTTTTTTTATTTTTTTTTTGTCCTTATTATGCATGCAGTAACTTTTACAAAGGTTGCAAACACGGCAGCTGGCATTTGTTTCCTGGCCTTTAAAATTCTCTAAAGAATTGACCATTTTTCAAACACAATTTAAGTCTTCAAGGAGTAAATGGCACAGAAAGAATCATGAACACTGAAAGTATCTGTTTGGGTATTGAGATGATTTTCTTTTTATTTTCAATAAGGATAAAACATTTCTCGGGGCACTTTGACCTGGAACTTGAAGCTAATGTTTTTTTCTTTTTTAACATTAGTGATTTTCCTGCATTAAGGCTTTTAGGTAATGATATTATCTTCAACAGAGTTTATGACACAATGAGCCTCCAGAGATGGATGTAAAATCCCCAGTGGGACATTAAATATTTTTTTCTGCTGTCAATATTTTATACATTTTTGTATTTTGTGCTTTTAGCAGTGGTTCCAACAGATTTATCCACCAATATTATTTAGTTATTTGATAAACATTTTCCTTCATTTTGTTGCATAATTTACAACCTTCCCATTAGATGTTTTTTTTTTCTTTTGCAGTCTTATAACACTAAAAGTATTTAAAAACTGGAATGAAAGTTTAGGTTCATTTTAGGCTCATTAGCATCACCATAAAACATGCAGGCTAATAAAAAGGATGTATAAAGTCTCTGATTTATATCTTTTTAGAGTGCATTTATCTGTGTTGCTTTTAAAAATGGACATATTTTAACCCATAAGCTGCTTGGATGTTTTATATTCTGAAATCAACCTTTTTTTCTATATCTTCTCAAACATACATCAAGTTGGAATAGATGTCATTATCTACATCCTAAATTATGAAACAGAAGCTTCATGTCTTCATTTCTTTTTGCATAATTAAGACTTTGCAGACAAATCTCCACCTTCCAGTTAAAAGATTAGCCCAACTTTGATTACAGTTGTATATCTGATCTAATATAATACTTTAAATGAAACCACAGCCTTATAATAAATTGTGCATTGTCGGGATTAATTGCTTGACTTGTTCTAATTGTGTTGAAATAAATTGCCATCTAAGTTTTAGACCTTGCATCGCCTGCAGGCTTTCCTGGGGAGCGAATTGAACGATAGCACAATAAGAACTGTCAGTCACTTTATCACGTCTTTTTTTAACATTACCAATGTTCCCTTTTATTCTCTTTTTTTCAGTGGTTCCATTGTGAAGATGACGGTGATAAATCAAAGCTAAATTGTGTTTTTTTTCTTTTTAGGGAGATTTTATGGTAAAACTGTCAGCCGGTGCTTTTTGCATAATGATCTCTGAAGCATTAACTCTGTAGTGTCGGACATTCGGGTGTGAAGGTTCCCAACACAATGACTGATGTGTTAGCCTGTATGCACCCTTATTCATCTGCAGCACGCTAGACTGGTTATCATTACTGTAATGACATAATTTGCTGGGCAACTATTCCCTTAATGAGGTTTTTGCAGTAGATTGCTTATTTAATGCACTGACAAGGAGAACCCTGTAGATCCAGCTCAGGGGCTGAATGGACACAAATTGGCCCGGTGCTTTTACAGGACAGACTTTTTTTTACGTTACTATTTGATGAGTGCTGACATTGTGCGTAATGAGTGGTAGAAATGCAAATTATAATGGTTTTGGGAGGACATAAATGCAGTCTGTGACCTTTAAATTACTTGTTGTTGTGCAGACGATCCAGTAAATTAAGTTTATTCTGCTGGTGAGCTTGAGTGCCTGGCTTCATAATTCCCAATTAAAAAGTCGTTTAAGTTGACTTCCCAGAAAGTTGAGGATGTTAGGCTGTGTGTGCCAGCGACCTGGCATTACTGCGATTCCACAGATCTGTCTCCAACGCTTTTATATTCAATTAAATTAAAGTTCCAGGTAAAATACTTGGCTAAAAATACCTGCTCTTCTCAGCAACAAGCCCCCAGTTCCTTTTTCCTTCATGTTTCCTGCCAAGTTTTAAAACGGCTGCAGGGATTTTAGCCGATAGTTGATGAGGTCTGACTCAAAGCCATGTTGGGCGGGAAGAGGTCACATATCTGGACACTTAACTCTTTGGCAGCAAGAAGGAAAATCTGAATTATAAAGATGCTCATTTGGAACTGATCCCCAAATTTCACTCCAGCGGTTTAAAAACAATAAGTGGCTGTGTGTTCACATTCAACAATATTTATTTAGTTTTGCTGAAATACTCACTCAGTTATTAAAATTAATAACAAATTTAATGAGAAAATCCATCAATTTTTTTCTTTGTGATTAAAATCATTTGATTATATTACCAGTAATGCCAACATGAGCCCAAGTAGAAGAAAGTAAGAAATAACAAAATATTAAAATCAGCACCAATATAATAGGAAATTACTACAATGAAATAAAACATAGATAAATGGATGTAAAGAATTTTGTGAAATAAAAAAAGAAAAGATAAATTTTTAGGTCCTACAACACTGAAGAAAGAAGCTTGACTTTCCTTTCCTGGTGTCCAGAGAAGTTAATGCTGTGAATGTTGACCAGGTAGGAAAATATGACATTCTGTATTTTCCCCTTATAAATTTTAACCTCTCAAAGAATTAGACATTTTCAAACACTGAGTTAACACGTGAAAGATTATATTTTACATTTTTAGTGTTGATTCTCTAAAGAGCAACAGAGTTTTTCTTCAGCAGTGACTTGTGTAATACAGAATAATGATCACAATGTTATAATGAATTAGTCAAAAACTATTTCAAATATGTGATCATTTTGCCCACAAATGGCCTAGAAAAAACACATTTACCCTCGTCTAAACATCAAATGTCCTTTTCAATGTGAATTTGACTCGTGGGCATAGTTGCACTTTAAAACTTTATACACGTTGGAAGCTGTTTAACTTTAAGACAACTCCTCCAGAGCATGAAGGGCAAAGTCTGTGTGTTGCAGCTCTCAGTCTTTATTTATTCCAGCAGCGTCTGGCTTTTTTCCAGCCTCTCTCTGCTGCTGTTGATCGCAGAGCGGCTCCTTCCAGAGGTTTGGGGCGATTTCTGGTGCCTCGAGAGAGTTGATGGTGTGACTTAACGGGTTCTTTTGTTTGTAATTACATGAATGTGAGAAGCTGACATTTAAAGCAGCTCAGATGCTTTTTAATTGGATCATTAATTTACTAATCACACAACAAGAACTGTACACATGACATTAAAATATTCACTGGGTCTAGAAATGAAGCAAGAGAAAATGTTTGGAACCATAACCACAGGATATGGAATATCTTTCAATTAATAGCCCATTAGATATTTATTTCTATATATTATTCCTACAGATGGTTAGACCTGATATGCTATATACCCAAATATATGTTACCCTTTATATATATAACTCATTAACTGATCTACAGTATTTTTCATAATTGCCATTTTCAGCATTTGTGACTTCTTTTATGGTTTTAATAAACCAACCAACAGATTTTTTAAGACATCTCTTATAACCAAAGGATTATAATCAACCAGCTTGTAGTGCATGGAGTCTGAGATGTGCCATCGAAACACAAACGTTCAGACTGCTGGCGAATAGAGATTTGTACAAATTGGAAAAAAAAAAGAGTTAATATTCTTTATGGATGATCTGTAGCAGTTAAATAAACGGTGACTAAATACTAGGACAGGTTTGAATATTTTTCACAAATCATTAATCGACTGTGATTTTATGAATGATGGAGTTCATTTCAATTTAGTTTCAATATGCAATATTTTAAAAGATCAGAAAAACTGCAGATTGATGCTGCTTTTGTTCTCAGGATGTTTCAGTCCTATTACAGACCTGAAGTACTTGTAGGAAATTTTGAGAAAGTATAGCTTTGTCCTTAAAGTAACTTTTTGTCATTTAATAGAAAAATCAAAGTGTTTTGCAGGCATTCTTTGGATTGTGGTCCATATTTCTTTTCTTTCTTTCTGCTCCCACCACGTTTCATCAAAACTGCACATGATTCTCACATACTGCTATTAGCCGGGCATCAGTGGCTTTGCTCAGAACCAAAATGGAAAGCTAATGGAAACCTGTCGACTGTTTATAAAGTTACACAAATTGACGCAGGGGAATAAAAAAGGTATCTTCTGTGTCTGACACCTTCATAAGTGTTAACTGAGTAGAAAATGTTGCCACTGAGTGTGTGTGTGTTTTTGTGCAATAAAAGCATGAGTTGCATTTACAAGAGCATATCTAAGTGAAAGAAAGCTGCAGCTCGGTGGAGGAGGTCGGGGCGTCTCCATTAGATCCGCCTGCCTGCCACAGGAAGGGAACAACTAAAAGAAAACCTCTGTTTCAAGAAACAAAGGTGAGGCTCCTTTTCGCCTCACTCAGCCTGAAAGATCTGCTGCCAAAATGCCACATATCCATTTTAAAAAGTGACCAGCCTGTGAAT